CATGAACATCGTTATCTAGAGATGTTCTGTTTCACGCCAAATTTCAATGTGTACAACAAACTTAAAGAAGTACGAGCCAGCCGGCCATCAGTTTGCTGCTTATTATTTTTTCACTTAAACTATAACGTTCATACAAAAATAAATATAAAAAATATGTGACATCTTAGAGCATTTCCAATGCAACTCTATTGGAGTAAATCTACCTTTACAATACTCTATTTTAAAGAAGAAAAATAGTGGAAAAAATGGAAATGTATTGGAGATGGTTTTTATACTGCATTTGGGCCCGAGGCTTGAGGCGTGTCACTCCCACTCCATAGGCGATCGCGTGGTGATTTACTCGGATGTGTTCCGATCTTCGTTATATTTTTTATGTGGACTGTTTCTGCTATGTTTTCTTCTATAAAGGTAAAAAGATTTAAAGATGAAAAGATGAACTGATGTATATAAATACTAACAATAAGTAAGATACATGTAAAAGTAGCAAATGTATCAAGTTTTTTACGTTTTTCATTAGTTTCATTAGTAGTAACCTAATAACTTCTCATTTGGCATACATGGGAAAGAGATGAAAAATACTTACTGGACTTGTATGAAGAAATCGTCGGAAAGAGAATCAAAAGCCAAACAATCAAATAGAACCTGCTCTTCATTTCTTTGGTGATATATACGTTTTATGTATTGCGTGTATATAGAGATTTAGATAAGATATATCAGTATATCATATATAGAACCTCAGTTTTACATAAGCTATTAAATAAAGTCTGCGCGTCAGAAAACTTCTATTAATTTATATCAAACTTTTATACGTGGACTAAGTTTTTGATTGAATTTAATAATTTCTTGACAACCATAGTTTCATTCGAGCTAATTTTCATAATTAGCACATCTGATTAACATATAAAAATGACTATACAAGTCAAACAAAAAAAAACTTTTTTACCCTGTTTGGACTTTTGTTGACATTAGGGTTGATAAACAAATTACACAAAATATATATAAAAAAGAAACGATGTACGAATATGCCTTAGCCGGTCCGGTCTGTCTAGCCACCTTAGCCGGCGTTTGAGGAACCTCATTTGTTAGATTCTGTGCCTTGGCCAGCACGCTTTGTGACACTACCTGGTGTCTGGATCTTGTTTGTCTTGTGAATATGAAGCATTTCGCTTATTTCATCTTATTACAAAAAAAAAAATGTACAAAACATATAGGTTAGTAAATCCCTTATCTTATTTCAGACTATTGTTATATATGTTTTGTAGTTTAATTGTATGATCAACCTTAGAACTCTAGATCCTTCTAATGAACTCATGGTGTTTAACCTAAAAGCAAATCGGATGGTAAATAGTCTCAAGTGAAAACAGCAAAGATAGAACCAAAAGTGAAACAATAAACAGTAACTTGCCCTTCATTTTTGTGTGTTTTCTATTGTTTTGTTGTGTGGTATGCACGTTTATAGAAAGCTTCATGCACATGTGAACTTATATTAAATCAAACATATATGACAAGAAGTTTCACAACATATGTTATTATATGAAAAAGCTTCAAGTTCCAGAGGATAATTTATGAATCTTCTTAGTTTAAGACGTTGACAACTCGAAGGTTGATCAATAAAATAGTTTTTGATTCTAAAAGCATGGATTGCACTTTCTTTTTGTTCAGAATTTGATATTCTTCTTATATAACTTAATTGTTGTTGGTAGACACATTTTTAAGATTGAGGAAAACACGTATATTTGTCAAACGTAGATAAAAGATTGAGAATTTTAAGTCGAATACTAATGTGCACGATAGGAGTGAGTGAGGAGGAGCTGTATGTAGCATCATTAAACTTGGATCTGAAAGAAAATATATACCTTATATACTAAAGCTCAAGTCATCTCACCAATGAAAATTTGACAAGTAAAAAAATCCTTAAAAGAAAAAATTGAAAAATACAAAAAAAAATTCAAAACATTTTATATTTTTATATTATAAAATAGAAGTCAATTGACAAATTTGAAAGTTACAAGTGTCCTTTAACATTTTTTTTAAAAAACAAATTCTTAATTTTCAGATATTTTTTTAGTTGCTTAAGAAAAAAAAATTATTAGTAACCAATAACCGGTGGCAGTTACACACACCACAATCACTCCATTTATCTCTTTCCCAATTTATTTTTGGTTCTTCTAATCAACCATCTTCCACAATATTTGAGAAATAACTATGCCATCTAATGGAAATAAAAGTGCTCGCCATGTCTAACACTAGTAAATAAATAAAGATTTTTTATCACCACAAGGCAGTTTATGAATTTTTATTACATATTAAGACAGTTTATGTTACAAATATAGTTTTTGAATAAAAAGACTTAATTTATCCTCTTAAAAAGAAACCAGTTACGTACTCATTAGTTAGAAACATTTAGTTTCATTAAATTTTTATAATTTAAAAAATGCATTCTTCTTCTTCTCTACTTTGACCTTTTTTCTTCATTTTTCCACCTTAATCTTTATGGTACGACAAGCATCGCCACTGGCTCAGTCTCCGATTCTGTTTCTGAGTTCTTACGTTTCGGTGAGTCTGCAATTCGTCATCATGGGGTGGTTACTCTCTACGCCATCGCGTCTCATCTTTCTCCGCATCTTCACTTCAGTGGCTCGTCAAGCTCCGTCGTGTAATCCTATGTGACCTCTCCTCCTCGCCAATCATAAGCGAACCAAATCGATGACCTCTCCTCCTTGCCAATCCGCGAACCAAATCGAGAGTCGATCCGATCTGTCGAACATCAAAGGGATCCATTCCCAAAACAAGTTTCTCATATTTGCTTGATTGGTCCTTTAGCTTTTAAGTATTTACAGTTTGGCCCTAAAACTTATAAATTTTCACATAGCTTTTTCAATTTGAATCCGCACTTTTAATTGTGCAATATAAGTCCAGAGATAAAAACAAAAAAAATGAAGATTTCATGAAGAAAAATCAATGGCGGCTCTGAGGTTTAGTTGTAGAAATGCATGATACCCTAATAGGAAAAAGATGATTAATTAGAAAATTGCCATTCATTTTAGAAAAATGTGTACAATTATATGTGTATATGTGTACATCTTCACATATATACACTTTATTATTAAAACAATGTACACTCGTCACATGTGTACATTATTTACTATTAAAGCAAAAAACAAAATTTACATGTGAACAATATATGTCTGCATGTGTACATCATCACATATATTATTAAAATAATATACCATATACATGTGTATATGTGTACGTCTTCACAAGTTTATGTATTTCGTAAATGTATACATTGATGTGTCCACCTACTCACATTTCCACTTCCAAAACTTTAGTCTCCATCATTAGTTGTACATGAAACTGCGATGCAGACAGAAAACAATGTACACAATCAATTTTGACAATGTTACATGCAATTTTAACGATGTCCACATGTACACCGTTGTAACGATATTTACGTGTACACTATATCTGGGATCTGTTCATGTCGTAATAGGAAGAAGATGATTTAATTACAAAATTGCCACTCATTTAAAAAAATATGTACAATTATATGTGTACATGTGTCCATCTTCACATATGTGCATTTTATTATTAAAACAATATACACTCGTCACATATGTACACTCTTTATTATTAAAATAATGTATCGTATACATGTGTACATGTGTACGTCTTCACAAAAGTTTATGTATTTCGTAAATGTATACATTGATGTGTACACCTACTCGCATTTCCACTTCCAAAACTTCAGTCTCCATCATTAGATGTACACGAAATTGCAATGCAGACAGAAAAACAATGTACACAATCATTTCTGGCAATGTTACATGCAATTTTAACGATGTTCACATGTACACTGTTGTAACGATATTCACGTTTACACTATATCTGTGAATCTGCTCATGTCGTAATTATTTTTAAGAGAGGTATAAACTCAAAAGATCTGATAAACATCAAATTTCAAAGTTGGTCTTTCTTGCTATCAAGCTTCTCACAAGTGGTGAATATGACAAAAGAAAAGGCACGGCGACGACAGCTCCGGAGCTTTAGAACCAGTTCCACAACTTTGAATCTCGTCTTAGAGTTTGACGCAAAGGTGTATCCATTAAGAGAGAGAAGTTTTATATATCATGATTTTATCACCATCAGATATATAGCTTGACACATCTCAAAAGATATATTGAATAATAAATATATTGATTAGGAACATATTTTCTGGAAATAATTTTCTGGAAAACTAAAATTCATTTAACAAAAGGAAGAATAAAAGACGCAGGAAGGAGAAACGAAAAAGAAGATACGTGGAACCTATTTTATTGTCTTTTAATTAAAAATCTATATTATATTTTTTTAGTTGGTTCATTATTTAGTTAAAGAGGAACTGAATAGTTTTAGTTGGTAAAAAGAGTTAATGAACTGTTTGAGTAGTGGAAACTGTCTTTTTATGATATAATAAAGAGAAAATGACTAAAATATCACTAAAATTTTTTTTATCACAAATATAGCACTTAAGAATAAAAATGACCAAAATAACACTTAATGTTTTATCAAAAGAGATAAATATATACTTATATCTCAATGATAAATTAATTTAGACATTAGGGTTTAGGTTAAGGGGTGAGATTTAGAATTTAGGATTTAGGGTTTAGAGTTTAGGGTTTAGGGTTTAGAATTTAGGTTTTAGGGTTTAGAATTGGGGAGTGGGGTTTTGGGGATAAGATTTTAACTTTTTTTAAATTAAAAAATTTTAAAATTTTCAAAATATAAAATACTATTTTGGTCATTTTAGTTTTTTTTAGAGCTATTTTTGTGACATAAACTTAGAAATGTCCTATTTTACAGATTTGCCCTAACATAAACTGTAAATAAAAGCCCACTCTGACCCAAAACACTTGACCGGTTGTCTTAAACTAAACCAAACCCGGTTATTGATTTTTTTTTTTTTTCGTCTTAAACGACGCCGTTAACTCTCCCTAAGTCGTCCAGATGTGAGGATCAGATATGAATCTGTCCCTTTGTTTGGATTTGAAAACTTGATTGATCCAATCCATCGATCTCTGAGTAGCGATCTCGATTTCACAGGTTCGTACTCATCTTTTGATTTTTCAGATTGTTTCATTGAATCGAGATTGATTTCTTTTTCTGTTTAGTTCTTCTCCGGTAGAGGATTTGACGATGATGAAGATGCAAAGATGTGTGGTGACGTTACTGGTGGCTCTCTGTGTGGTTGAATTTGGATTCGCTTCTTCTCCTAACACCGTTCCTGCTTTCCTCTGGTCTCCTCATCTCCAGTTACGCCTCTCTCTCTCTCTCTCTCTCTCTCTCTCTCTCTCTCTCTCTCTCTCTCTCTCTCTCTCTCTCTCTCTCTCTCTCTATACTTCTCATTGTGTCATTATATGGTGATGGATTCTACAAATGTATCTACTTTCTGACATGTTCGGAGATAACTTCGATGCCCATTTGATAAAGTCTGAGACTTGTGAACTCTTTATGTTTGATCTGTAGTCGAACTGCTCTGGATGAATCTTACAAATGTCTCTGCTTCCGATGTGTTTGGAGATAGTTTTGGTTTAATTTTGATAAAGCCTGAGACTTGTGAACTGTTTATGTTTGATCTGTGGTCGAACTGCTCGGGATGAATCTTACAAATGTCTCTGCTTCCGATGTGTTTGGAGATAGTTTTGGTTTAATTTTGATAAAGCCTGAGACTTGTGAACTGTTTATGTTTTGTCTGATCTTTGTTCAAGTTGTGAATGGTTGATATGACTCTTGACATCAGGGTTGGTAATGGAGAATTGGATCAGGCTGTGAATTATGAGGTCATGTCTGCGAAGGATCTAGTAGGTTCTGTATTCACTCATGGAGGATGGTCAAACTTTCTGGTATGGTTTCAATCTTAGTGTATGTCCGGTGGTTGTTTTTTAATTTTTTTCTTCTTCTTCTTTGATATCGTCTTTGTTTAGTGCTCGGAGAAGAAAGTTGAGCAACCTGTTGATGTTGCACTTGTGTTCATTGGCAGAGAGGTAAGAATGTTGTCATCTATGAGTGAATGATATAGGAGCTTCGTTTTTTACATCAGTATCATTTGCCGTTGGATCTTTTTTTTATTGTTTTGATATTGTTTGTTATGCTATGAATATTAATATTTCACATTCTCGTCCTCTTGCAGTTACTTTCTTCTGATGTTTCTTCCAAAAGGAACTCTGACCTTTCCCTTGTTAACACATTGAGTGTAAGTGCAAGTTTTTCCCTTTCTTCAGAACATAACTCACATCTCTGACAAAGCTGATTTGTTTCAACAGAGTCTATTTACAGCTTCCAACTTTTCGTTGGCATTCCCATACATTTCTGCGCCAGAGGAAGAAAGGATGGAGAATTTGTTGCTTTCAGGGCTTAAACAAGCTTGCCCTCACAATGTAGGAGTCAGCAATATTGTTTTCTCTGATTCTTGCTTTGTTGAGGATGGAACGATTCAGAAACTATCAGACTTGCAGTCTTTCAAAGTAATGTTCATTTATCTTTATGTTTTCGTTTTCACTACTTCCATGCCTAGTTAACGTTATCAACCTTGTCACTCACTCCTAATATACTCTTAAAATAATTGACAGGATCATTTGCTTGCTAGAAGAGAAACAAGGAAAGAAGGAGAAACCGACTTGGTTGTGCTCTGTTCTGAGGGTTCTGAATCATCTGGACGGTCACATTCAGAGCGTAAGTGGAAAAGATCATTATTTCAAAAGAATGTAATAATTTGAGAACAGAGAAGTTGAGAAACTTTGTTTACATAATCTGCAGGTGAAAGTATCTCCGAACTTGTTAGTTCTGTAGAAAAATCTGGCAGTAAATATGCAGCTCTTTATGTTTCTGATCCTTACTGGTACACATCTTACAAAACCCTCCAAAGGTTTCTAGCTGAAAGTGCTACCGGAAACAGCAGCTCTGTTGGTGTTTCCACAACCTGTGATGAACTCTGCAAATTCAAGTCATCACTTTTGGAAGGCATACTAGTGGTGAGAAGTTACTCTTTGTTACGCTTCTGGCTTCTGTTTGATTTGTTCTAAACCAAGACTGCAACTCATCTTGACATACTTTGATTATGATAAAGCTAATATGATTCCATCTTTTTCAGATTGATTAAAAGCCTCTTGTTGATGTCTCTTCCTCGTTGTGATTTTCTTTTCTTTTTGCAGGGAATCGTTTTCCTTCTCATCTTGATCAGTGGACTTTGTTGTATGGCGGGTATCGATACACCAACTAGATTCGAGACTCCTCAAGATTCTTGAGCAGTTGACTTCTTAAAGAGTCATCCCCACCTTGTGCTTTGCTTTTTGCTTGTGACGGATCTTTTCTTCTGCATAGTGCTAAAGGTACTTGAATGTCGATGGTTACATTACTCATGCGATATAAAGCCCCCTTGTAACATTTATTCATCTTCTTTGTGAGTCTTTCCTATACACTATAAATTAATAATGGAGAGCAAGTAAAAAAACCCAGAGAGACACTGGAAGGACTACATTCTTTTATAAACATGTTATATTTCTTTTTCTGTTTTAACCCTAATCTATTTTATATATGATTTTGTACAGAGTTCTCTTGTTCATATCATACTCATCGATTTGGAGATGTTAGTATATATTTCCTGGAATAAACTCAGGACACCGAATTGCGTGTTTACTATCATTTGTAGTGTTTTGGGGGAGTAAATGAAAAGAGATGATTCAAAGGAAATTGCATCGTTGAAAAGAAATGCCTAGGTTTTTTGAATAGCTAACAAAGCAATAATGAGTATATTCTTTTATACAAAATGAACTATAACACTTCTTTTTGTCCCAAAATTGAAATCCATCTTAAAATGGAATAAAATATTTATTAGTGTGGCATGAAACATTTGAAATGTGTTATTTTACGTTTCTTGTAACACTATTTGTTTCACATAGACATCGAAGTTATTTTAGAAAATATTTTGTGTAAACTACGGCCTATTCTTATGATTATGATTTGACATTTTGCAAATTCATCACATATGCTTGGGTCGTTATGGTCCCTGCATGGGACCTATTGACAAAATCATAAGATCAATCTTTCAGATTCTCAGGTTGACTTATATCTCTCTTTATAAAGAAGGGAATCGAAACGAAAGTGAATGTTTTATTCATCTTTTGACATTATTTTTATTAATATTGTATATTATGTATTATTTTCATTTTCCTAGTCGTATCATGTTTCTTTATTCAAACTATACTATAGTCTATAATAAAAACAGTCAATTATGTAATAACGAAAAGTTTCATAAGCATCACTACTTTCAAGCTCAGAGAAAAAAAATGATAGAAAACAATAATAAAGGAAGTGAAATAACAAATAGATTCATCTCTTTGCATACGCAAATCACAGTGCGTTTTCATTTCTATTTTTTTTTCTTTCCTATTTATTTATACAGCTATATGTTGCTGTAAACATATGACATGTTATCATAATAATTAAATCAATAGTTTTTTTGATAATCCAGTATCCGACCACTAAGCGTGATCGACTAGCCCACCGGGCCTAAGCCCATGCCATGATAGGATTTTTAAGCGTCCACTTAAGGGTCACTGGTTACGCTAAGTGGTCTGGAGCACCACACCAACTCCGCATGTAAATTATGTGGTGGCCGGGTTTCGAAGTCGGATGGCGGGCACCTCAGCCGAGGTTCCTTTACCACCAGGCTATGAAGTCCGGTTAATTAAATCAATACTTTATAAGAATGGTTCAAAAAAAATTATAGTAAGAATGAAAAATTGTAAAATTGTACGGCCACGCAAGTGACAACATACTCGAGCAGGTCCTTTTTTAGCATTTCGATAACTTTAAAATTCCACGTTCTGATTTGTGTGTATAATAAATACATGTACATATACATACATGTTTTTTATTCGTGCCCTTTCGAGTACCTGTCGGGATAATGAACTTGGGGTACTCGTAAAAAGATAAGACTCCCTTCTTCTTTTAAAAAGTAGTTAAGAGAATTATAAATTTCAAATTTTATTTTGCTAAGGGGTTTATAAATTTCAAAGATGTAAGGGAATGCATTATCTATGAGTGTGTATTGATATGACTATATGTGTAATGTGTGTGCCCATATAATACACTGGCTTACACCAAAAAGAAAACTATAGTGCATATCTATGTCAATTTGTCAAGTGTGTAGTGTATGTGTATTGATATGACTATGTATGTGTATGTGATATACCTCAATGGCATCTGTTAAATCTTTTTGTAGCTTAAGAAAATTAATACAACGAGGATGGAGAAGCACGGAGGAACGTTATCTCTTTTATTTTATTTTCTTCGAATCTCTATAGTTCTGCAACTTTATTTTATTACAACTGGTTTTACTTTATTGCATTATACTTTTAGGGTTTTGCATATCTACGGCCTTCTTGGGTACATCAAATAATTTTAATTATTTTATCCCCTCTCATCTCTCTTCACCATCTGCTATATAAACTGAGAGCGCGTGAGTCTTCTAGTATTCATAATCTACCCAAACAATACATATGTATATACTTCCTCTTTCTTTGTCAAAAAAAAAAAGTATATACTTCCTCTTCTATCTCTATTGTTACACATATACAAAGAGAAAAACATCAGAAATCTACTGCTATCACATATACATTTCTTGGTATGTGGTTTTCATATAGACATGTTTGTATAAGAAGGCGTATGTGACCAAAGTAGTGTGCAGCCAAGGATGACTTGCCGATTCAATATATCTTTTTAATACTTTACTGAGACAATTTTAATTTTAATTTCAAATTTGTGTCGACAACAAAAAATAATTCAAATTTGTTTTTGGCGAGGCTATGAATAAGTTTCAATATATGTTTATTTCGTATTTCAAAGAAAATTTATGATCGGCAAGTTTTCCTTGGCTACACGTTTCTTTGTGTCGCACAGATGTGAGTATGGAATCGCAAGAGCTCAAGCTGAGGAACAAAGCTTTTTCAAAAAAAAAAGTTGAGGAACAAAGCCGTATAACGAGGTAAGTACACTCACTATCTACTGTTTTTCTTTTATTTGTAATAACAACCTTAACAACTTATCTTTATACTTTTTCTCAAAAAAAAAAACTTATCTTTATACTTAAAATTGTTGAGATAATGCAGTTGATCAAGAGTCTATCTTGTGTTAGATTAAGGATTATATTAGTAGAATAACAATTGGATCTGTAATTATAGTAGTATGTTTAATTGAAATTAGGGAAGGGTTAATTAGTAACATAGTACACTCACTTGTGTTAAAATTTTACATATCAATTATAAATACATAAAATTTTGTGGAAGTGAGTTTAATTAAATAGTGTAGGGTGTAGGTAAGGGCAAGCCCTTGACGATGCCGCAAAGGTTGGTGTTGAGTGGGATGTTGTACTCGTCTCTTAGTGATTTTTCAGGTGATAGAACACTGACGTATAGTTGCTGTCCCAAGTATCTTCTCTCCCAGTTCTCTGACCTGATGTTCCACATACCGGCGTTGTCGAATGTCAAGAGGATGGCTGACCACGACTTGGGGTATACTTGCACGGTGTGTCTGCTGATGGCATCGAGCAAGTTGTAGTTCTTTCTCTTCTCTGGTGTCCATCTTCCTGGCTCAGAACTGTTGAATAAATAAAACGTTAGAGAAAAATGATCAAACTCTAGATGGAATTCTACTACAAGAAAACAAATCGGATTCTTAAGGACAATGTAATTTTGTAAGAAAATTCGTCGGAAATTTCTGACGAAATTTAATTTTTTTCTAATAGGCCAAATTCGTTAGAAATACCCATTTCTAACTTATTTGAATGGATTACTAATAGTGAAAATGCATATTATGTATTGAGTTTTGAACTGAAAGGTTATGAAAGGGAGCTTACGCGACAGCGAAGAAGGAGTAACCATCCAAATGGAAGGACTGCATGCTCTTCTCGTGGTTCTCGAAGACGATTTCGACAAAGGTACGGAAAGTAACGTTGAGGACATTAGGCTCAACAGTTAGTGTTGTGATCTTGGCTGCTGGTTCATCCTTGATGACATTGTATTTGAAGACCTTCTCGGACATCTCAAAGTACTCAGCGAGCTTCAAGGGAGTCTCGGGGTCAACGTGTGAAACACCGTTGAACCCAAACCTAACCTTTCCGTTCACCAAGTTCTTGGTGTTGGCGAGCTTGATGGTACGGGTGATGTTGATCTTTCCGTAATGGTAAGATCCTTGTGGGTTAGGTCTAGCCGCGCTTGCGGTTAGGTTCCACCTGAAGGATCTGTACTGGTTAAGAGACCAAGCCCAGCCAACTGGAGCCTTGGGGAGTTCACTTGAAGGCTGAACATTGCTTCCTTCGTAGCTCATCACACCAACGGTGCTCACTTCCTTCTTGAGGAATCTGGTGGATGCAACCATGTAGTAGTTCTTGGCCACTTGGTCAGCGGTGACAAGAACAGCAAAGCACTGTCCGACGTGGACGTCTAGTGAGTCATAGTCGTTTTGGAGAACGTGGGAGCCTTCCATCTCAACAAGCTTCATCTTGTGTCCTTGGATCCTGAAGTTAAGTGTGGATTTGAATCCAACGTTACAGATTCTGTACTTGTAAGTCTTTCCTGGCTTCATGGTGAAGAGTGGGGTGTTTGGTCCTCCAACTTTACCGGATTTACCGTTGATGAGAACACCGTCAGGTAAGCCAAGAGTACGGCCACTGTCGAGGAAGTTCTTGAGAGCGGTGTGGCTCTTGGTGTACCAGTCGTTGATGAGGATGGTGTGGTCGTCTTCGGGGTCAGCGTAAGGGACGGGGATGAGGAGACGGCTGTTGACACGGAGGCCACCGAAACCACCGGCGAAACGGTGGAGAGCGGTGGATGGGTAGTAGAAGTAACTACCGATCTGGTCCTTTGGCTGGAAATGGTATGTGAAGTTGGTGCCTGCTGGGATTGGGCATGAGGTCCCAGTCACACCATCTTGCCATGAGTTCTTCCTGTGCTGGAGACCACTCCTGCCGCGTTAACGAACCCATTAGTCACGACCAATATCCAAAGTTACAATTAAAACTAGTCATATATATAGTATAAACCTAATGCAAAGTAAATCTCAAATCACAAATGAACCTTTTTGTGTTTTAAACAGACACACAAAATGTGCTTAAAAGTGTTTAAAAGTCGTTTGTTGTAGTAATATAGTTTAAAGCAATTTAATAGGAAAAGTTTAAATACTACATTTTATTTTTATATACATATAAATTTCAATATGAGAAATTGATAATAACAATTTTGCTATT